GTTAACACAAAAGCAAGAACACTATCCGGTTTCATCTTACTACTTATATACACTCAGTCGAGTCAATAGATTAAAAATTACAAATCTAGACAGATCGAGATAGAGTTGTTTTGGTTAATTGTCTTTCATATTCGTTCTGCTATTTTTGCTCGATTGTATGAGAATGCATATTTGCGTGTGTATTAGCGTCTATATGCAATAATTATTTTTGCTTGATTGTATGAGAATGCATATTTCGTGTTTATTTGAGTCTACAAGAAGGTCCCCCTAACAATGTTATCTCAGGAGATTCATCGAAACCAAGTTTCTGTTCGTATCTGTTGAGCTTGAATTTTGGCGTGACGATGGTACCTCGCTCTGAGGATGTCCGTCATGTGGCGCACAAAAGCTTAGCACCTTTTCACCGGAATCGAGTGAGATTGCCTCGGAAACAGCGTCAGCATGAATTTTCCAGTAAAGCCAATCGACAGCTGGTCAAGCGGAATCGGCCGTCGTCTTCTGGTAGAGCCAACCTTCGAATCTCTTCACCGCACACTTCCACTCGAAATGAAAGTAAGCTCAGCAGTCAAGATTCATACACAATCGAGTATGAGCGAATTGAGCAAACCTTTCTCTATCCATCCACAGTTAATTTTTTTCTCGCTACCAGTAAAGAGCCGGTCAGAGTTCGTAACTTGGTGTCAATTTGACACTTGCAAGGATGAACCCCAGTTTTGACGATGTTCTTTTGGTAGCTTGACCGACGAAAGCTGAGCACATTTTCGCTCGAAATGTTTGACGTTGTCTGGTGGACTGTGTCAATCCTTTCACACCAAATGAAAGTCTTTGCAACATGCTGAAGCTAGCGAGTTCAGAAAACTCACGAGCTTATGCCTAAATGCTGTATATATATTTACATAAATAAAGTGATTTGATTAGTTAGTCTAATTTGCCAACCTGGAAGCATGTGCGTGTGTATGTGTGTGTGTTTGTCTGTGTGTGTGTGTTTATGGGAATATATATATTTATATATATTCGTAAATATATGAATCCGACCTTTATGGTTTAAAGTAGTTAGGACAGAATTTAACGTCTGTTCTCTATCATCGAGGCTTGATGACTGGCTCCAGCCATTTTTTTCTTTATATTTTAACCATCCCAACGAAAAAACCGGCTGGTTTAGTTGATGAGCTTTTTGTCTTCGTGTGAGAGGGAAAAAGAGTGGACTAAAATGTACCAAACAGAGTCCGTGATTAGCACCAAGACAAGAAATATCAGTTGAGCCGCCTACATTTTACTGGCGGATTAATGCCGTCCAAATTAATTAAGCATAACTTTTTAGTTGCATTCTACCATTTCTACCCTCAATGTGACCTGTTTTTGAGACTTTCAGGAAATCTTGAATATGTTATTCGAACTAAACGTGATTTGGAAACTATCACTAAATAGTGAATAATGTAAAAGATGGAAAATCAATTTTTCCGCAAGGAGATGAGTAGGACTCATGCCATGTTTTCCCAAAGTAATCTCATCCAGAGTTGTGACTGCAAGCTAACGAGCCAAAAAATCATCGTTTTATGCCTACATGCTCCAAACCTTTGCATTTTTAATGAGATATAGAATTATTTGGTTAGCTCCTTTTACTTTTCAACCTAGAAGTTAGTGCTTGTGCATGTGTGTGTGTGTGTGTGTATGTTCCTGTACACAGTACTAGCTAAAGCAATTTGGAATAGGGCCCATTCTCTCTCCTCGATCCTCAGAATTTAACGACCCATCTTTTCAGACATCACTCTTTGCGTAATGCCGGACACACGTCTAGTTTCGTTTATGGGCTTTTTTATGTGTTTCTCACATCAGTTGTATGGAAAGTGTGACCATACCCAAAGACACGATCTACGCAAGACCAATTGAGTCGTCTTCTTTCCCACCTTTTTTAGCCATAATTCACTCAAATTAGCTCAAGTACTTGCTAATTAACGCCCAACTGGTAGTCTTGACACTCGATGCATTGACCAGTCTGTAGTTTCTATTGCCTCTTTACTGTGCGATGGCGTCTTAGACCGTCTTTACTGACTAAGGCTGACTAGGCAAT